TTGTAATAGTAGGAGAGCTAGTGGTACATTTTTTAAACAGTTTTATTATTGTTGATATTTTGGTATAAGATGTAATGCTAATAACATATCCGAGCGAGTGGCGGTAATTTCGCGGATGGCGCAGCGGTGATGGGTGATCGAAGATTTTGAAAATTCAAACAGTTTCATTGTTAATGAACCTTGCTTTATTATTTATATGAATGTACTAACATGATAAATAATTATGCAAGACAACTTTTGCGGTACGTAGACTCTGAAAGACGCCATTAATGCCGTCCGATTGGCGCACGTGACTAGAACGCCGGCTTTGAACGCGACGCCGCGGGTTCGAACCTCGGACGCGAACGATTTTTTTTTTATACATAGAATAATGGAAACTTTCACTGCCAACATGTAGGTACGAAGAGGATTATTGGTCCGGCAAATCAACGAAAGTAATTAAAAAACTAATTCATAAAAAAGGTTCACTAATAATAAAACTGTTTGAATTTTCAAATTTTTAACCCCCCTCGAGACCCTCTTTGGCCACCCACCACAGCTGCGCCATCCGCGAAATTGCTGCCAGACGCTCGGATATATGATTAACATATACATTCAAATATCAACAATAATAAAACGGTTTAAAAAAATGTGCCCCTAGCTCTTATGCCCGTTTGCACCGACAAATTTAAGCACAGCTTAGGTTACGCGTACGATTATTGAGACAATTGTTGTCATGGATTCTAAGGTACGCTTAAGCTAAGCCCCGCTTAAATTTGTCAGTGCAAACAGTCATTCGACTATAAATCTCATGGTGCCAATTTCAAACTGCACCCCTTCCCATCTAATTCTATTTATGGCCGTTTGCACCGACAAATTTAAGCAGAGCTAAGCTTAATCCAACCATTGTCTCAATAATCGCTGCCATGGATGTTAAGCTACGCTTAAGCTTAACTTTGGCGGTGCAAACGGCCATTAGTGAATTAAAATGTGACAGTGGATTTGTGTATAGGTATGTATGACAATCAAGAGTGCCGAAAAAATGCAGTGTTGCCAAACAATTGAATTGGTTTGGCAAACATTTGTTGTGAAATTTGTCACAATTAATTTAATGCAGATCGAACTAACCTGCAAGTAAACTTCGTGTCCGTCATGAAACTCCCTAACGTGATCCTCGATCGAATTGAACTGTATATCACAAGTTGAACACACGTAGAGATCCTCATTCTCCGAGACCTCCTCTTCGTTTTGCTGTTGAATCGCACTCGTATCTTTGGTAAGTGCCCTCGCCAATATACTGCTTGTTACAGTGTCCGTCAAATCGTCCGCTTCGACCTTCACGCAGATCGGACTAAACCGTTCGGGCGTCTCATCGGCATGTTCGGGTTCTTCGGGCACTAATGGATCCACGCACTGGTTACCGAGGTGCATGGCAAGATCGAAGATTCGTTCAAATCGTTTGCCGCACGCCGGACATATTAAATTATCGGATATGCTTAACAAATGATACTTTAAGGAGTTATGACATGAAAACGTTTCTGTACAACAAAGTGGGCAGTGTAATTGTAAAGTGCCCATGCTTTCTGCAGAAATTACGAATTAATCACGCCCAAGATAAAACCGATGTCTTTTTTTGGAGGAATGTAATGGTTAATGATTTTACATAAGTTGTAAACAAATAACCCAGTAATTTCAAATTTAAAATACGGCACCTTTCTTGTTGCTAATTTCCTTTATAAATAACTTCATGTTGCAAAGTTAAATAACAAACGCCATTTTAACCAAGGAAGTGGCTAATTTAACTGTTTGGATTTGTTGTGTCGACCGTCCGCATCCCGGTATTATTGCTAAGGCACATTCACAAATTGTGACGTATGATGATTCTATCAAAGGATTCTATTCACGACTCATGAGACCTCTGGTGGCAACACAATGTCAATAGTACATATTGGCGGTATAAGACCGCCATTTTGTTTATTTACAATGACCAAAAGTAATCAACATTGCAGTTTTTACGGCTGTAAAAGTAAATACACTTGCAGTTCATTTGCAATCGATGTAATTAGGATCAAGGATAAATATAATTTGATAACGCACACTTCCGAGTACCTATTATAAACGCGATAAGTGTAATTATGCAACCAATTACAAATACTGTTTTAAGAGATATGTTAAGACACAAGCATTCCAATGATTTCAAGTGTGCCCAGTGGGATTATGCAACAAATAAAAAATCCTATTTAAAAGAACAATTGTTAGCACATAAAGTTTCAAATTGTGTCCTGTGCGATTATACCACCAATAGCAAATCTCATTTAAAAAGACATTTGTTAATACACGATTCATGCGAAGATAAGCCCAAAGATTTCAAATGTGTTTGGTGTGGCTTTTCAACCAACAGCAATGCTTATTTTAAAAGACATCTGTTATCACATAAGACTTTCAAGAAGTTAAAATGTGCTCATTGCGATTACTCACCCAAGAGAAAGTCAAATTTAAATGTGCATCTGCTGACATACAAGACTTCCAAGGATTTAAATTGAGCTCACAATTCTTAAACTAACAATAAGGATAATTTAAAGAATCATCATTTAACGAATAACGTAATATTTTCAAAGTCTTTAATTGTGAACAGTGTAATTACACAAAAAAAAAGAATATTACGTCATTTTTGACACACTCCTCTTTGAATAACTTCAGCTGCTGTTGTAATTACGCTATAATTAGTAGCGTTCGCTTAAATCGTCACTAATTAACCCACAACCTTCTTATTTGTGATCAGTGTAATTACACTAATCACGATAAGCCTAACTTAAGGCAGCATATCTTAAATCATACCACATTCAAGGATGTTACGTGCAATATGTGCGATAATGCCACAAATATACTAATAATAAACAACGTTTGTGGGAAACATAATTTTGCATAGGCTACAATTTAGGTGAAACAAAGTAATGTACCGGCATTATGGCTCAATGGTAGAGCGTTGAGTTATAAATCCGGAGGTTGGGTGTTCGAACCTGGGTTGGGGTGAATTTTTCATCTGTGACAGAGATGGAAATTACCTTAGACCACTTTCGAGCATTCTGCCGGCTACTCCGAATTAGGTTTTCCTGCAGTTTTCCTAATTCGTAAGGTAAATATCGGAGTAGTATAGAACAACTTAAGACCTTCTGCAGAGGCACCTCTAAAAAGCATTATGCGGGGGTCACTCTGTAATTGGGCGCAAGCCTGTTGAGGGCCTAGAACAAGAGGGAGATAATAAATAATAAATAAATATTAAGCACAACACATAATTGCCTTAATCTTAATTGTTGGGCCCCTCATTAGATAATGCGTTCATATCCCAGGCAAGTTTTGTGAATTATAAAAGACATTGGTAATTATTATGTATTCGATTCAATTAATCAATAATAAATGAAAAGAAATTACCTTACTTTCTTGATCCACATCTAGGACATTTTAGTTCCTTTTCACAAACCAAATCGCCAAAATGGGATTTCCTATCTCAAAACAAACGATTATTCATTCACAATGGGTTTATCAGCAGTGCTTGTTCGCTTTTTCCAAGAAATTAGTCAGGTTTCTTTATTTATTGTGGCGCCATTGATTTAATGACTAGTAAACAAGTTAACAAATAAATTAATAACAAATATCAGAAAATTAATCTGCATGTTCGTGCAGCGCCTGTGCCTCTGACTCCCGCCATGTATTCTGTACGGTTTCGACAATCCAAGTCCAGTACTTAGATTTGCTAAAGTAATATGCCGCACATAGTACAATAAACACCCACGATAACAGTAACAGCATGTCATCTTCCCTCGTTGGAATACTGGACACAGGTCCCCCGAAATCTGCCGACGTTACAAAGGACTTATCTTCGGCGTGAACACCCGTGTGCTTCGCGATAAACCTCGAAAATAATTCGAGAGTGTACTCGGATTCGTTGAACTTTGCCACGAGCTTGCCATTATGAAACAATAGCAACGACGGGACACCAACAATTCCGTTCTGTGCATTAAATATATTATACCAGATGGCGTTTATTGCAACCATTTTGAATGTGGGAAATGCTCTTGGGAGTGCATTAAAATGGGGAGCCGCCATGCTCGAGAATGGGCAGTACTTCGAATAAAATAGGACCACAATGCAGTTGGCAGGAGTTTCCTTACTGGTTATGTTAGGGTTGGTGGAAAGATATTTAATTAACTCTGTATCGTTGACCAGGTGTACTTGAGCTGTACCGACATGAGGTAGGCATGAAACAAATTTCACTGTACTTTCATTTGAAGCTGTTGAACTATTCACAGGAGGAGTTTGTAAAGCAGGTGTCGTATTTACGTCAGGACTTTCCAAGTCTACACTACTCTCGACTGTCTCATTTACTTCACTTCGAGAGATGGTGAATAAAAGACCTGCAAATATTTAATAGAGAAGTATATTCAAGATAGATACTCACTTAAGAAGAGTAAAGAAATATGCATTTTCGTAACGAACGAGTAATGTTTACATCTCAAACTGAAATCCATATAACCTAACTTTATCAGCTGAAAATTGAAATGTGTCAAAATCGGTGGATCGAGAGTCCCATTTCGTATACAGGGTATAACAGCATTGTATATACACAGTAAGGCCAAGTAATGTTATATTATTAAGGTTTTTCGGGCTTACATTTTAGTTGTAAGAATCTACGAGAAAAGTATAAATTGAATGCTGTAGTAGCCACAGCCTACTATTTTATAAACATCAGTAAAGTTGCATGACATACTCTTTACATTTACATATGAGCGAAACATGTCATTATGATATTTGTTATTGCTTTAGGAATTCCAGTGTAACCGATTGGCCATATAAAGCTCAACAGATAGGCCATGACTTAGTGTTTGGGGTTCGTGAATTAACGCCCTGATGCAGGGTAGCTTTGTGTGGTTTTATTTTAATATACAATTAATTTTCACATATACAGTTGTGATAACCTACCCCGATGATTTGGCCACACACCTTGCAGAAAAACCGCCATCGACCTATGACATGCACCGTATACCAACGTCTATTCGATGTTTTTGAAAAAGTCCCAGACCGTTCTGCACTGGTTTGAGATTCTTGTCCGATTTTCAGTGTTAAATTTCATGTCGCAAATTGGTAATTACTTAAAATTTGAATTTTGGTGACATACCCCTACGGTTAGACAACAAACTTTACGCAGCAGTATAGCTAGTACCCTAGTACTATGGGAAAAAACAAGAAACGCTCTGTATACATGCAATCGTGATAAATCTTTTGACTGTCGTTCTGTGCAGATGCTGGAAACTGGGTTTTTTTCGACAGGCAGTCGAATGTGCTTTGTCTATGGGTTATTGTTTTTCAATGGCTCGAGTAACGTGCTGTAGGAATTCACATTCAGTATGACAGTACATGGTTATAGCCTATACTAGGGGATACCTGCGTTGCCAATCCTAGTTTTGCTAATTAGTTCCTCTGTTACCTGTTCAATAGTTAAAAGCATTTAAAACTAACTTCTTGCATTTGCAATTTAACACTTACCGTTTTTGAATTTTACTACACTTGCAGCCATTTTGTCATACTTTCTTTCTTTTGTTTTGCAAAGTATAATTACAGGTAGTGATTAATGTATCCTTTTTTTTTCTTTAAATTACATGTCCCAGTTTGTTATTATATTAACATTTTACATTAAATGCTGATATTCTATATTTATTTTTGTGTTTGTGAGAGAGTAGATTATCCCTGCATGATTGTATTAACCGTTTATACTGTTAAGAAAGCACCTAATACAGCTTCGATCGTTCATTGTATCTGTTCCTTTCTTATCTCGTGCCCGCTGCCGGATGCGACGGTGCGTAAGGATACGAACAGTGGGGCCCTCTGTATAATTATAACTTTTCTGCTTGCCTTCTCACCGCCAATTTTTCCTGTTAAATTAATCGTAGACGATGCCGCGGCATTTTCATGTTTTTTAGGTACTTGCAATTTATCATTTTACGTCTAAACTTATCCGTAGATGGGTTTGATGTATTTTTGTACTAAATTGATTTATCTTTTTTTTAGCACAAAATCTGCACTAAGATCGCTGATAATTAAGACCAAAGGCTTTATCTCGGGGACCAAGACATGCATTTCATGAATTTTTGGTGACGACGTATTTTGAAGTCGGGACGTCGCTGGTTCTGCTACCAGAAATAGTTCCTTTCGTTGATCTTGTGCTGACGTGCTTTTGTGTAGAGAAAATGAAATCATGCATAACCGTACGCTGGTTTGAAAACAGCGCTCTCGGGTACAGAAATGTGCCTGCTTTAATTGCGAATCGAGTTCTTAGCGCGTCTCATATACAAGGGCCACCTCAATATCTCTTTTATTTGGCGAGATACGAAAAATGTGTGAAATATAATTTTATATGATATTACGATGTTATCCGATCGCATACTAAAACTTCCGGCATACCTTCCGGTTTAACCGGAAATCAATGGCACTTTTGTTTTTCAAATGCAATGCTTATGTTTTTTTACGATATTTGAGAAGAGTAATCAATTTGCGACAACATAAAATATGCATATGGTTGATATACAAAAAATAGAAACATTATAGTGATTCAATATGTAGAAAACTCGTGAAATCCAACATGCCTAGTCCAGTTTATATTCGTTGTATTGTTTTTAATCTTCATGAACGCATTTGGAACTGGTGGGCGCGGCGCAGTCCCGTCGAACGCCCTACCAACACTTGGTTGTAATCGCTCTTGGTCGAGCGCTCGACTCTCTAGTTGCGAGATCGCGACGGTTCTAGTCGTGACAAGGCGCGACTGCTACTCCCTAGGGCCTAGTGCATTTCCACCTTAAGTCTTCATGAAGCGTACGGGATGCATAAATGCACTAAGGATTTCTTTTGTTTAAGTCTTTTTCGTATTATTCGAAAGCTTTTGCGAGTCACGTGTCACTTTAATGTATTTGATGCAGAACATTCTAGCGCTTTATGGATCATCTGCTGCTACACTTAACAATGGCCCCACTATCTAATGTAAAATTGCGACACATCCCCATCTCACTCGCCGAAGGTTCCCATTCTCGGACCCCACCGTCGACAGGGAGAGGGTGCGAGTGTGGTGTCCGACTTTGATCTTAAACGTCGCTCAACAACATGAACGCTGCTACAACTGCGGAAATCGACTACTCTTTACGAAGGAAACATCAGATGCGTATCTATATTTGTCGGTGCCTGAATAAAGACTCATCTAAATTAATGAAGTTGCGCCTCTTTATAATTCTCACTCAACGAACGCGGTTTATGGCGCGGAATCGGTTACCGATAGAGGACCAAGCAAGAAGTGAATTAAGAACTCAAAGGACTAATCAGTAGAAATGACAGATTAGATATCGATAGATAGCGCAAATTGTTACACCTACCATTATTGGTATTCTATTTAAAATAAGAAAAAGAAAGTAGTTTTATCAACCCTATTTAAAACCTAGAGAAGGAAAGAGTCTGTTTAAAACATCAAATAAAAAATGCCATTTTCTACTTTAAAGACGTATTTCAAATAGATGTATTCGAAATAGGTACTGACTTGAGACTTGCTCATGCCTTATCACGATTAGCGCTATCTCGGTTAATGAATCCTGAATTTAAAATTACCGCTCAAAATAAAACGTTACATGTTGTCATAGCGATTTCAAATTCAAAACAAATGAGAACCATCTATCGACCTTATTGTGAATTATGGCCATTTATAACCTTGTTTTTAGCTTTTTAATATAATTTTGTACGTGTACAAAAGGCATATTTCTTCATTTTTAAAACTGCGCAGTGTTTTAACATGTTATGTGTACGAATAACTTAAAACATGGAAGATGACCGCAAGAAAAAAGTGGAAGCTGGCCGTGAAAAGGTATACTTTATTTATAGCCCATCTTAAATCATTCTAATTATAATTGCCTATTTCCAGCTAACTGCCTACAAAAAGAAAAAAGAAAAACACAAACATTCACCGCGAAGTGCTTCGGCTTCCCAAAGTGATACTTCATTGTCCGCATCCCCACCCTTGTTAGAAAATGCACCCAAACAACATACTGGAGACGTCCAGTCGGAGAGTAGTGTTATATCCGAACATTTAAGTTCACACAGTGAGAGCATTGAAAATGATAGATCACTTCAAGAAATCGAGATATCGAACGTCCCGTCAAACTTGTCATTATTTGAAAACTTGTCGTCCGACGAAAACACAGAACATATATCGCACGAGAATAAACCCTCACCATTAGATTCTAGTAACAGTACCGATCCACATGTGATAACTAAAACGAATGTAGATAGTCAAAGTAATGTACAAAGTATTTTAAACGAAATCCTTAGGAGCGAGGAATTCAAATCCGATTCGGAACACACCCTGCACCATACAGATTCAAACGAGAATAGCTTTAATCTGTTTAAAGATGTTAATTTAAACGATAGTTTTCTTGAGGAGTACGGCACGAAACCAAACGTTTACGGCACTCTCGGCGACACCTCAAAATTGAAACAGCTCGAGGAGATTATCAACGCGAAGGAAACGACCATCAACGCGTTGACCTCCGAGTTGGAATCTTGGAGAGAAATTAACTCGAGTGCTCAATCCACACCGAGCTTAAACACTTCGACTACAGACTATAAAAATTTTCCCGAAGAGTATTACAAAAAGGTAAGCGCTTCGATGGTCGTGCCTAGACTTATAGATTCATTTTCTAGATCGTAAAGTACGACGATGACTTGCAGCATCGCGACATCTTGATCCAACAGCTGACAGATGCATTGAAAAGGTCGTGTGACGAACGAGTGCAGCTAGAACGAGACAGCCAGAGTTTGGCAACCGATATCGCCGTACTCCAAAAACAGCTAGCCCATACGTCCGATTTGCTGGGGAAGAAGAAGGAGGGTGCGTTGGTTCCCATAAGGGATTGTTCTGCTCAAACTGACACTCTCGAGCCGGTAGTCACCGGAACCATTTTGCCAGATGGTGATACAACTGATGGTATTGGGATAGACACACAGCATTTTGTAAGTGGTTGATTTAATAAGGTCTTTGTAATGTTTCGCAAGTCTTTTGACAAGCCGCATCAGCGGTGCAGGGAAGTATTTAATCAGTACTATCTTTATTTGACAGGTAAGTACATATCCATTTCTATCCTTTCTCAGCCTTTATATCTTACTGTAGATATTTACCTCTTGAATAAACTGTAATAGTTCGTTCGCTTTTCCTTCTTGGTGTAGTTGTTGTAGAGATTTATTGTTTACATTATGTATTATTATTATTATTATTGATGGCCTGATGCACCCTATGGTCTAAACTCTAGAGTAACTTTAGATCATTGAAGAACGGAACAATTACTCCAAAAAGGAGTAAAAAAATTCCAAGATCTTATGAGTTTTTTGAATCACTGAAACCTTTTTGAATTTGGTAACATTGACAAAAATTAACATTTAGAACATTTAATTTAAAACATTTCAGAAAATTGTAAAAATATAAATATAAATACAAAAAGATTGAAAACTGAAAAGATTCAACAATTGAAAATATTCGACAAATTATGAAACTTTAAAAAATCCACACAAAACAACACACAATGTAAAATTATGTGTCTCAAACATTTAAGATACACAGAAATTTAAGATCAGAACAGAGATTCAAAGAATTTTAATTGTACGAAAGAGAAAAAAGCTCAGTAATATTCCAGAAAATTAAACAAATTAAAAAATAGCTAAAAAAACGAAAATTTCTTACTTTGAAATTATATTAGATGTACAAAAATATTAAAATTTGGAAGAATTTAGAAATTTTAAATCATTTCACCTAAATGTACGCAGGTTTTTTGATTTTTGATATAAAAGTCTTGAAAATGGAACATTGTACTTAGATAGGGAAAAAAAAGAAAAAAATTCACAAAATTAAGTATATTGGAAAAATTCAGATTCAAAAAGAATGTAACCGACAAATTTTAATAATTCAAAATATGTATTCGACAAATTAAAAAATTCAAAAAAGGTTCAAGTGATTCGGGAAAATTAAAAAAAGATTCATGGAGATTGAAAAAAGAGTTAAAAAATTAAAAGAGGTTCAAGTGATTCAAGATCGAGTTCAAGATATTAAAAAAAACTGGAATCCTTTTTGGAAAGAGAATTTAATGTCTTATAGGTCAATATCTTTTTAGATTAATATGTACAGGGTGTTTTATTAACAAATTAGATTAGATCCGATAACTTTGTTGATTCCAGATATTTATTTTCAAAACCGCATATTATTCACCAATCATTACAAAGAAACTTCTGTATAAATATATAGTATCATTCTGAGCGAAAATTTACAAGTTTTGACTTTACCATTTTAAGTTTGACTCAAAAGGACCACATGGCCCCTATATTATTTTTTTGATAGCAATAACAATTAATAGAAATATAAGTTAAAAGTGTCGAAAATGGAAAAATTATAGATAGGGAAAAAAGGAAAATTTTAAAAATTAAATACAATTAAAAAAGAATGAAAACTTAAAAGTTTAAATAATTAAAAATATTCGGCAAATTCAGAAACTTTGAATAGCGTACAAAGTAAAACAAATGTAAAATTATTACAAACAAAGAAGAAAACAGTTCAGTAATATTCGGATTATAAAAATTTGGGAAAATAAAAAAATTAAAAAATATAGCATTAAGAAAATTGGAAAAATTCGTATGTGTACTTACTTGGATTATAAGTGTATAAAAATATTTCAATTTGGCAGTTTTATTTATGTTGAACAACTCGATTTTCAAAAATTTGTAGAGAAATTAAACAAAATTTGAAAAATTAAAAAATCTAAAATATTAAATTACGTACGAAAGTTGAGGATAAAAGTTCAAATTCTAAACATTCGGGAACGTTCTCGAAAAGTTTGTAAAAAAATCGATTGAAAAATTCCAGAAAGAATTAAAACCAAAGTTTAAAAAATTCAAAATATTCGGAAAATTCTGGACTTCAAAATTCAAAAGTTTGTTTGACTGGACGATTGGATTATTACGGCGCATTAATAAACATCACATGAATGCAGAAATGTTCATTTAAATATTGCAATTGCTATAGTAAATACGTTACAACGACCAGAATATAGTAATTACTTGTACCTATAGGTGGTTGTTATTGCATCTTTACGAAAAACTTCTTGCAGCAATCTTCGGACGAACCTCAAGGAGACGAATCAATTTTGAACTTGGACAAAGAATGTTTATCGCTGGAGAGGACCCTCAATGCGCCACAGATTGAGCTGATGCGAGGGGTTAAGGAGTCTATCAACGCTTACGTAGAGGCCCATATGGGGGAGCATCACAGATTACATCAGCTTGAGTTGAAAAAATTGGAGGTAAGTTGTATTTATTGTTGAATAAAGCCATGGCGAAAATCATCTGCACGCATCTGCACAAACAACTTTCTTAGACGAGCAGATTACATGAAATTTTAACGATAGCTGCATCATCTAAAGAAGGAAAATTTAAGACCGGTCTCGCACAGCAAATGTGCGCATGCGCAGAGTTGCGTAAAATACATTTTCTTTAATGCGGAGATATTTTAACGCTAGGTGCATCTGATAAAGACAGGATACTTAGGCTCAACTGCGCTTTCTTAGTTGTGGAGATAATTTCAGGCGAAAATTAATGCACTCATTATCATAGGCTCGCATTACAGTGACCCTATACTACAAAAAGTGGCGAGAAGCAGCGGTTAGCTCCGCCCATCCGCCATTATGAGGCAACATTTTTGGCAAGTTTGTATTGTTAGAACACGAAATTCAAATGTTTTGCTTAAGGTCGATTAAACGAGTCAATCCAAATACAACAGACTCGCTGATAAAAAGTAAACAAAGAATATTTTCCTTTGATGGGGACCGTATACCACGTGATTAGTCAGGCCAATAAAAATCGATTGCCGCCACTGTTTGTAGTATAGTCACTGTAGCTTGCATTGCTCAACTCTAAAATTTTAGAATAAATTGGAGAACGAACAAATGGGGTACGAAGCAGAAATCGCAAAGCTAAAGGAACTGTTAAATGGTATGAATTGCCATCCCGACGATGTCGTCGCACTTAGAACAGAATTGGAAGCGAAACACGCAAAGGAAATGGAAGAACTTCGGACTTATTTTGAGAAGAAATGCGCGGAAGTCGAAAAAAAGTGAGTATACATTCATGGTACCTTAAACGCTTTTCTAATTTGCATTACTTATCACAAATCAGGAAGGATACAATGTAAGTAGCATTCGTTTAAATCAGACATGTACACGCAATTGTCTTAACACCGATTTTTATTACACAGCTATTCGGAGGAGGTGTTCAGTCAACATAGTCGTAAAATGTCCGAATCAAGTCTATGTTCAGAGTCTTTAGACTTTCACTTCACCGGATCGCATCTACCTTCAGGCCCAGGTGGCGATTCCAGCCACTTGCACATCGAGTTACCGAAAATCGAGCCACCCAAACCCAATTTTAAGGCGTTTACAAAAAGCGATTGCGTCAAACTAAAACAAGACCTATCGGATATTGTGAAAACGCTAGCCGAGTACGACTTAGAACGTATAAGTCAAGAAGATCACGCCGATTTGATAACGAGCTTGGAGAAGTGCAACCTGCAGCAGGTGTTCAAGTTCGATCTGTCCGCGTTCAAAAATAAGTGTAACGCCGAACTCGAAATTCTAAGGGAGGATTACGAGAATCGCATCGAGGTTCAAAATACGAAGAACATGGAACGAATCGATTCTCTCAAATCGGAATTGGAGGAGGCTTTGCGTAATGCGGAATTGAATATTCATACGGCCGTTCAGGAAGTGGTAAGATTTTATCTTTTAGTGGACACACTGTATACTGGCCGCTCAGTTCTATTCAAATGATACATGCAGTATGCAGAGTGCCCAACTCAAGTTAAGGAACTTGTGCATGCAGTGTTGTGTGCTGTCTTGTTTCTATGTTGTAACTAATTTGTTCATGTCGTTATTGCATGCTCCGTTACTAACTAGGCGAGTTCGGGCGAGTTTGAATTGGAAGAGGTCGTTCAAAGCTATGAACGTCGATTGCAGGAACAAGTCACGATGGCTAAGTTTGACATATTGAATGCTTTAGAGCTCCAAGTGCAGGTATTTAATGTTTCTTTCTTTAGTATAAGAAAGAGTACTCAATATAAAGTGATTCAACGCCATATAATAATAATGTTTTTTTACATTATTAAACTAATCAACTGATTGAAGAAATTACAGATTTCTACAGAGGAGCGGTGTGGTGTGTTTTCATCCATAAATAATACACATTGGTGAGGTGGTATAAATAGCGAGAGATTGTCACAATTAACTTTATAAGGTACTAGTGGTATTATATTTTGTAATGGTACTTGCCAGTGCGGTCCTAAATTTTTTCGATTTTGTAAATAGGTATACAGGGTGTTACATGACCGCATGTAAAAAAAAATCGGGTGATAGAGGGGATCAAGACAAACATTTTTTGCAAATAAACCGAGGGTCCAACGTGTTTCGTTTGGGAGCCACCCCCAAAGAAGTGGTGAAATTTGGATTTCTTCTTTCATTTTTTTCTCAGCAACCATGAGTTACAAAGATGGGTGGCACGTCTTTTAATAGGTTTTCGGGTACCTATGCCCTATCCGATTTTGAAAAAAAATTTCCAAAATTCCTACCACGAAAGGGCGCACCCTTACTTGGGGGTGCGAAAAAAAATTCTGATTTCGACGAAATTTGGTATCTGGGGGTTTTTGAACATGAAAATATCGAATCTGAAATTAGTTTTTGAAAATTCGAAAAAAAAGTACAACTGCAATTCTTGGCCGGACAACGAAAATGGAGAGAATTCCACGAAATTTGTTGTGTACATACTTGATGAGTTAAGGAACAAAATTGTCGAACAGTTTTTTAAAATAACTTTTCAAACAAAAGTTATACTCATTTGAAGATTGGGCCGTCGGTTTACAAAGTGTCCCCCGCCTACTAGTGAGTGATCTAATTACGCATCTAGTTCATTGAAAATGTCGCAAATAACAAAAAATTACGATTTAAGTCGATATTATGATTAAATGATCACAAAAAATTTGATATGTCGATCACAGTCAAGGTTGGTATATTACAGGTTGCCTCGTAACTGCAATAATGGGGATCAAGTCGTCTGCTCGTGACGTCACTGGTAGCCACTCAAATTTCGTTACCTTGTCATTACTTGTCATATGACATACGCGTAAGGTTATAAATATTGAACCTGTGCATTCAGAACCTAGAAATATTATTAAAAGGGTCGTGGAATTCTTTGACAAACAGAAAGCTGCCGTATGTGGGCATTTCCTTTGGAAAAGGCTACAGCGAGCTAGCTGCTGCTGTGACGGCAAATCAATAAAACTCATAACTAAATTAGGTAATGTTAATTTCAATTATTGATGGAACGTAGCAACATTGTTGATTGGCGGTCACGATATTTACGGAAAATGAAAGAAAATGATGCTTTAGGGAAAAGCGGGTCGGCAGAAGATGAACGTGTTTAAAACTGACCGAAGCAGGAGGATCATATGGTCTCGTTGATACCGCCTATCTCATCTACAAATCGAAGACTTAAGTGTAGAGACAATATAAACTGTGACTACGCAATTGATTGTTAGATGAAGCTGTTTATCTTTCACGGTAAACACTGGTACATCAGACGAAGATTGACTGTATTATATAACGATTTATAATTACTAAATTTTAAAATATAAAATGAATATTTGTGTTTCAGTAGTTAAACGATTCAAACATCATCAAAGAACTGTAAACAATAGCTACGCATCAAATTTTCCAGCTGTATGGCTGCATGCATTTATTATTTCGTTTAAATCGTGGGATACCATGTGACGTATTCGCGCCTCGATTGCTATTGGTCGATAGTTACGAGGCAACCTGTAATATACCAAC